CTAGATATGAAGTAATTGTCTACTAACCTTCCTTTTAGGAGTCCAAATACAACTTTCATTCTCGTTTAGGTTCTGAAATAACATCTTTTTGGTGGAGAAACGGAAGCCATTTTGTTGTTTTGTCGAATCTTCTTGTTAAAAAAAAATTCGCATTTCCAAACATTTCAAGCTTTAATCGTCGGATATCTTTCAGACAAGGCAACATACTCAACATTTCCACCTTGTGGTACACTTTTACTGTCCTTTCATCGCTGAAATATTATGTTTTTGGTGCTTTTTTCTTCGTAATAAAAGCTTGCAGTTTGTTTTCTAAAAAAGTTTGTATTCTGAATTCGCGCCTTCGCAGATAAATCTGGCTACGTGATTGGTCAATTTTCCCGCCATAGAACATCTAGCCTGCAGATGCGGGCGTTAATAGGGTAGACGATTAGGGTGATAGGATCATGGTACTATGTTTACTTGTTGTGGTACAAGTCGACTATTTTCACATTTTTAATGCTTTGATAGCTTGTAATTATTCATTGGCATATAGTTCCTTTAATTAAATGCATTCAATTCTGCGGCTCATTTTTTTCTGTCTTGAGGGGGGTGGGGGGCTTGAGAGTCCACCCTATATCTTTAAAGTAATTGCTTTAATTCCTCAACAGGCCCGTGTCGTCCCTTATCAAGTATGCATGTTTGCAAAAAAGTTGGGATATTTCAGCGTAAATGGTCAGGTGTCTAAAGTAACCCTTTACTACTGAATAAAAGCTTTCAAGCTTGCTTTCGGTTATTATTAATACTATACCCCGCTCAGTTTCCCTCATTCGTCACTGTTGAGTGTTGGGCAGTTTTATCGGCAAGATTCCGGGCTTAGGGAGTGGTCATTATTTATGGGGAGAAGGAGGGGGGTTTGGGAAATGGGGGGGCAAACGAAGTTTTACACTTATAATTATAAATAGGGGGGCCAAAAAAGTTTTAACGCAGAGAAAGGGGGGGGTCAAAAAAGTTTTTGAACTTAAATACCATGTCTAGATTTCTGATTTCTATAATCACAAATAGCAAAAAAGAAACCTCTGAAAATGCTATTTCCAACGATCTAGAGACTCAAAATTTTCAAAATTTCCCTGCTCGGGGCCAACCATTGTAGCGCCTCGCGATCGTGGGAGTCGCGCCCACTAAGTTTTAACAAGCTTCCTACCCCATGAGTGACCCAGTTGTGGTATTTACATAAACATACCATGCAAGTACGTACTTAACTGATCAGATTCGGTCTATCAAAGCACAATATGTATAAATGCTGTATATCCAAAAATCTGTTTCAGAAAATGCTCACATTTCAGTTCTAGGGGTGGAAAAATACAAAAAATACGTACAGTGCATACAATACCACAGACCCTAATAGCCCCAGACCCCCCTACTAGTACATACAATACCACACCAAACGTTTTGTCACCAACAACCATCTATCGTCTCTCCACACTCAATATAGTATGGTCCCTTATTGTAGATGCCCACCCCGCAGACAAGCAGGGCCTTTTTTAACATATAAGCTGGGGGGCATTTGCCCCCCCCCAGTCCCCCCTTGTGCCCCCCACGAAATCACATTTTGCCCCCCCCCCCAGGAAAAGTCCCTTTTTCCTAAATTTATACCAACAAAACAGCGAAGAATAACAAATAAATAAACGGAAAGTAAGTTCAGTTAGGCTTTATCCTTTGTCCTTGTTTAACAAAATCGATTTAAATTGTTACGTTTTTCTATCATTAAGTAATGATAAATTATTGTTAATAATTTTTTATTTTTTGGATGCTCAGAATGCAGGAAAGAGAATTTCCAGGTTTCAAATTTGAAAAATTTTCTGGAGATTATGTCCCCACACACGTGGCCTTCGGCCATTGGTATCCCCCTCTAATAAATTACGGTTAATATTCTTTTTCACTTTTTGTGCATTTTTTCCTTCTTTTATTTCAAATACAAGTATAGTTAGTATATATTTTAGAGCAAATTTGGATGCTCAGAATGCAGGAAATGGCATTTCCATGTTTCAAATTTCAAATATTTTCGGGGGGAGTACACCCCCACACACGTGACCATTGGTATCCTCCTCTAATAAGTAATGATAAATTATGGTTAATTTTTTTTTGAACTTTTGTTGGTTTTTTCCTTCTTTTATTTCAAATACAAGTATAGTTAGCATACATTTTGGAGCAAATTTGGTTGCTCAGAATGCAGGAAATGGCATTTCCGTTCTTCAAATTTCAAAAATTCTCTGGGGGAGTACACCAACAGCCCCCCCCCCATTCATGCGTGCATGGTATGTTGGTCACACGGCACGTGGCCTTCAGCTATTGCTATCTCCCTGTAATATATTATCTCACAGAAAGGTCCCTTTTCAAAAAATGCCCCCCCACGGGAAAATCCTTAAAAAAGGCCCTGAGAGATCACGCGTATTAGGTTGAATGGCGTTCTTGTCGTATATATATAATTTATGTGTCCCACATCCATCATCTCATTGTTGGTTGTATAAATACTTTTCGGATGAAAAGCTCACTATCAGCTACACTGCGCTGACGAGCCTATCGTAATCACGTAATGTAATATATTTCTAGAGAGAGGACCAGATAGGAAACGAGCTGTATACTGTAGTTTTATGTGTAAATCCTCGTTAAATAAAGTGTTATTATTATTATTTATATGCTCCTAGTTAGTACGCTTATGAGAGGCATTCACCCCCTGAAAGTATAGAAAATGGCGGTCGTTCAGGGCGGTGAATGGCACTTACAAGCGCACTTACTAGAAACATGGCGAGTGCATTTTGATGACGAATCACGGTGTGGCGGTTACGTTTTTTTTTGCTTTCTGTATATGGTCTGTATTATGTGCAACCGCGTTCTACACACGTAAAAATCTCACATCTTGTATAATAAGTCTGCCAGCAAGCCGTCAACAAGATGTATTCGCACTGCTTGTCACAAGTTGTCAACAGGTTTGGAACAACTTGTTGACAACTTGTAACAACCTTGTCGAAATTATCAGAGTTGTTGCAAGGTTGTTCTGACAAGTTCGTTACATGCTTGATATAACAAGATTGTTACAACCTTGTGTTGACAACCTTGTAACATCCTTGTTATATCATGGCTGTAACAAACTTGTTAGCACAGTCTTGTAACAAGGCTG